TCTGGGTTTGAATCCAAACTGTAACACTTCCAGCAGTGTGACTTGCAGTCATTTAAACTCTCTGCAAGTCACACTGGATTCCTCATCTGTAGAACAAGGTTGTCTACCTCACAGGTTGTTATAAGAATATAAACAAGTAGATACAGGTAAAGGGCTTAGAACAATGCTGGGTACATAAGAAGTGCTAAAAAATTATTAACTATTATTCTAAGGTGGCCAGTCGACCAGGTCAGACTGCCAGGATAACCCCAATCTTGGAATGAGTCAACTTCCCTATTGAGAAAGCAAATCAGTATAAAGTTCCAGGGCCTAAGGTCCTTTGTTTGGCATAGTCGCGTACCTTTTTTTGACAGTTGACTTGGATCCCAACAGCAAAGCTGGTTTCTGCACTATCCCTCTGTGACTTTCCTGCTATAGGACTTTGTTCTCAGATCTTGCCCCAACTCCACTAGCCAGTTAGAAGGGAAGAGTGGCTGTTCCAAAGAAAAATGGGCCCCCAAAGAGCTACCCGTTACTTCTTTCATCCCTAATCCTCATTTCTTCTTAACTTGCAGGTAAAGGGATTTTTCAGAATTTCTTCTTGCTAAGGAAAGCTGGGTCAATGCCCAGTGCCTCCTCACTGTGTGGTTCACAGCATTATGTTGTCAAGAGTTTGTAGTTTGAGATATCTTTCTCTTGTCTTATTAGACATGAATTTCCCTCAAATTTTGTTATGATTGTTCATTGTAGATGTGTTTCAAGAGAAGAATATCAGTAAACATGTACTCATTGTCGTAGTCATCTGATTTTTTTTTTAATGCCAAACATCCAGGTTCTCCTTCCTTTTGAAGAACTATACCATTACCACTCATAGCACAGTTATTAGGGTTAACCTGCCATCAGATCTGGGTTTCAAGGAGGATCTAGAATAATCCAATGCATGTATTTTATCCCCTTGATCACCAGTTGTTGGTTCAGGGTCTACATGAGCTTGAAATTGCTGAGTTATACCACAGAGGGCCTTACTCCAGAAAAAACAGGCAAGAAAAAGATTCTGCTGATATAATTTGAGCTCCAAACCAATTAGGTTCACAATCAAAGCTGAGTTATGATATGGCTTTATGATTTATTTAAATATAGGTATATAAAAAATAAGGCCAAATGTGAAGGTTTATGTAGGAAAATTGGGCGATTTGCTCACTGTACTCCCTGTGAAAAAACTCCCTTTATTTATTATTTTAATGTTATTATTATTTTTTGAAAATATCCCTTTTAGCCATACCCATGCTAAAATAGGATAGGCCTAATACTAGTAGCACACACTGATTAGCTTTTTTTTTTTTTTTTAAAGATAATACCAATCAGTGGTTACTAAAAGCTGGTCTCCATACTGGTATATGTGATAACATTTCCACCAGTCCATAGCATTTTTCTCAGATAAGTTCTGCTATATGATGGTGAGCAAAGACTTGGGTCAAGTCCTAGGCATAAGTAGTGCTGGGGCTCAGAACATAATACCCCAAAGTACAGTGTTTTGGCATGCTGAGTACTTTAAACTAAATGGGATCAGAAGACCTCTGAAGCAGCCTCAGAACCAAGGTCTCCCTGACCTCCTGACCTTCTCCTGCCTTCCTATCTCTTGATCCCTTCTTCTTCAAAGCAAGCCATAAAACCTAGAAATAGTACTCTAATTTTCCCTCGCTTTTCTGTGTAGGAGCTGGCCATAAAGAAATTCTCTGAACTACCTGACCTGATAGTAGGTCATAAGACCCTCATTCATTCCAAAGGGGCCTCACGTCATAGCTGGGAGGAAGAAACACCACAGAGAGAGACCAAGAGGAGTCTGAACAGACGGACTTGCTGGTCTTCCCTCTTTAGTCTATTACCTTTAAATCATACCCCTTTGTCCAATCATATTTCTACATGGCCATCCATTCCTTCTCAAACCTAAGCATAAAGTCTTTATTTCTAAAGGCCCCCATGTCAATAAAACTTTGATTAAATAAATGCACTAAGCCTCTTTGTTAATCTGTTTTTTACTATAGGAGTGTCAATCGTGACCCTTAGGATGGGTGAGGAAAGGTATCACACCTTTCTGTCTCTAATGGTAACAGAGAGAGTGCCCTGAAACTCCCTTCCTACTCTCACTATCTAGGTAACTAGTTAGAACATTTTCCCTAGACTGTTCAGGGAGAAGGCAGGAGAAGCAACTGAAGGCATGGAGACCACTACTCTGTGGCTTTTAGGTGTGCTCAAGATAGCCTGGAACAGTACTATATGGCTTCCACTATAGCCAGCACCCCTAAATACAACCAAATGGGCAAGGAAGGGGGATGGTGACAAAAACAAAATCCCAGAACAAGTTGACATTTGAGCGCTAGTCTGTGGTGAATTGACTCCCAAGATGACAAACTTATATCTAGACTGCAATGAAACGGCATAAATATTACAAAATGGAAATTGGTTATAAATGTCTACATTTAGATTTTTAAAAACATATCCCTTTCCAGATATTTTATAAAATACTGCCAATTTTCTTCAGATGTGAAGGATTATCCTTTTCTAGCTGTACATTTTTCTTAGCGTAAGATGAAAATATCCTTTTTTGACATTAGGTTGATAGTTTGATAGTACTATCTATTTTGCCAAGCACAAAGTTATTTAAAATCTTGTCAACCCTGGGTTGGGCTCTCCCTTTTAATTTTTTTAATATTAAGAGTCTATGACCTTCAAAAGCTTGGAAACCACTGAGATACAGCTTGAGGTAGCAAATTCCCATTCCTAGTCCTAGCCATAAACTACGCACATCTGACATTTAAACAAAAACCATAAAACCCATGTAGTATACTAATTATCCTTTATTTTAAAAAGAACACATATTTACACCTATATGGAAACAAATTTGATAACCTAAATGAAATGGAGGACTTTCTGACATCATACAATCTCCCCAGGATGAAAGAAGACATTGAGACACTAAATAGACCAGTAACAACCCAGGAAATGGACTCTGGCATATGAAAACTACCTACAAAAAAAAGCCCTGGACTGGGTGGTTTCCAGCAGAATTCTACAAAACATACAAGGAGGAGCTGATACCAAACCTATTGAAGGCATTCCAGGCAATTGAGAAAGATGGAATTCTCCCCAAATCATTTTACGAAGCTAACATCACACTGATACCCAAACCGGGTAAAGATTCAACAAAAAAAGAGAACTACAGTTCAATATCCCTTAAGAACATAAGTGCAAAATCTTCAATAAGATTCTAGCAAATCAGATCCAAAAACACATCTCAAAAACCATCCACCATGACCAAGTAGGATTCATCCCCAGGATGCAGGGCTGGTTCAACATTCGCAAGATCATAACTGTAATTAAATACATTGACAGATGTAAAAACAAGAACCACATGATTATATCATTAGATGCAGAAAAAGTTTTTGATAAAACTCAGCATCCCTTCTTGATAAAAACCCTCAAACACCTAGGTATAGAAGGAATATACCTTAAAATAGTAAGTGCCATTTACGATGAACCACAGCTAACATATTGCTAAATGGACAGAAACTGGAAACATTTCCCCTGAAAACTGGAACCAGACAAGACTGCCCACTCTCACCCCTTTTGTTCAACATTGTGTTGGAAGTCCTAGCTAGGGCAAGTAGGCAAAAGAAGGAAATCAGGGGTATCCAAATAGGAAAAGAGGATGTCAAGTTATCCCTCTTTGCTGATGATATGATCCTATACCTTGAAAATCCAAGAGAATCTGTCAAAAACCTGCTTGCACTGATAAAGGACTTTGGCAAAGTCTCAGTGTACAAAATAAATGTGCAAAAGACAGTTGCATTCCTATACATCAACAACAAACAATCAGAGATCCAAATTAAAAGCACAATCCCATTCACAATAGCCACAAAAAATTGAAATACCTCGGCATCTTCCTAACCAGAGAAGTCAAAGACCTTTATAATGAGAACTATAAAACACTGCTCAAAGAAATTCAAGAAGACACAAACAAATGGAAAAATACTCGATGCTCATGGAAAGGAAGAATCAACGTTGTTAAGATGTCCATCCTACCAAAGACAATCTACAGATACAATGCATTACCCTTTAAATTACCAATATCATTCTTCTCAGACCTGGAAATGACAATACAGAAATCCATATGGAAACATAAACGACCATGAATAGTCAAAACAATCCTTAGCAAAAGAAACAAACAGGAGGTATCACACTTCCAGACTTCAAACTTTACTATAAGGCTACAGTAATCAAAACTGCCTGGTATTGGTACAAGAACAGGCATATAGACCAACGGAACAGGATAGAGATTCCGGAAGCAAAGCCTCAATTTCTCAACCAACAGAGTACCATATATTCTCACTTATAAGCAAACTTGAACAATTATTATAATACTATAAGAAAGGGATTGGCAGTAGGGGAGAGGGTTGGGATTGGCAGTTGAGGAAATCCGCTAAGGGAAGGAGGAGCATACCTCATCAACAAGGGTACCTGTATAATCAAAGTTTGTATACCTAACCCTGAATTATATCCCACATCTTTATAATAAAAAGAAAACACGTTTCACATTATAATTTTTTTCTCTAAGATTTTAATCAAAATACAGTAGCCCTCCTTTATCTGTGGGGGATATGTTACAAGACCCCCAGTGGATGCCTGAAACATGATAAAGTTTAATTTATAAATTAGACACAGTATGAGATTAACAACAATAGCTAATAATAAAATAGGACAATTATAACAATATACTCTAATAAGAGTTATGTGAACATGGTTTCTCTCTGTCAAAATATCTTTCTGTACGGTATTCACCCATTTAATATTTTTGGACCATGGCTGACCTCAGATAACTGAAACTATAGAAAGTGAAACCACATTTAAGAGGGAACTATTGTGATTTAAGGAAATTAATCACACAGAAATGTTACACAAATACCAAAGAATTATAGGCTGACAACAAATAATGAGAATTATTTGAAAAAGATATGCACAAGGAAAAGAAAAAAATATTGTTTTTATATGCTATTTACACATTAATTATAAACCACAGCAGTAAAAGCTTTCCGAACATTAGCAAGAAAAGCTGAAAAATTGTTGGTCTTCCTTACACTCTCTTGAAATTCTGCTAGGCATTCAAGATGAGGAGCACTATCTGACACTAGAAGAAAAAAAAAATAGAAGACAATTAGAATGAGATTTTTTTTGTGGCAGAGGAGTATTTCTGATTTAGATGCTCTCATCTGATTTGAATGTCATTCTATTTTAACGAAATGCTTGGAACATAAAATGATACACTTGGTTTTCATATGCTAACTATCTTTTGGATGTCTTCTTTGTTTAATCTCTAAATATTAAAATCTTAAGTACTACAATCATGTTTTAAATTTAAACAGATAGTATTCTAGAATTGAAGAGCTCAGTGATACAGAATCCCCTTTCCCATCTTCTTAAAACTATACATTGTGGTTTAACTTGTTTTAACGGTTTGTTTTAAATGTTAAGTCATTTTTCTCTGTAAAACTTTGGCCTGACTTCCAGTTTCTGGCCACTAGATAAAAACAACAATAAAACGTTCAATGCCAATGTTAATAACTTACAATTATGGATAGAAATACCTAAAGTTTTAAAATAGAAGGCATTAGAAAATGTAGTTGCTATTCTAAGAGTGGTATTTACAGGGCCTACTAATCAAATGAGATTAAAACCACAAGTAACCAAATGGCTCTCATATGTAGTTCATCAGCTAGTATGCTAGGAAGAAGTTTCCAGTGAGGATTGTCAAAGGGCTTCCTCTCCCATCAATCTTGTCCTTTTGTTCAAGGGAAAGAAATTCAACCACATCAGATTTCCGCTCTGTGGTACAGAATACTTAGGAAACAAGGTCTCTGTGGTATAGATTACTTAGGACCACAGCAGAGGAAAAACAGCAAGGAGAAAGTTCAAAACTTATCCTGTAGATACCATTTTAATATGCTATATCTATGTTGCAATAGAGAATATCCAATTTAGAGAAAATAGAAAAGCTAGGTAAGAGGTCTTCTGGGTTTTTTTTAAAAAAAAATCTAACTCATTATATTGGAAGATATTTATCTAGAGAAAACAACAAACATTTGTATATGGATTAGAGTTCCAAAATATTAATTCCATAAGAATAGGAACTAAGACACTAGGGAACAGCAAAATGCCTAGTCAGCAGTTCACCTGACCGTCTGTCAGGTATACATGTGTTAAGATGATAACAGGTGTGATGAGCTAAGAACCATTTCTGTGAATTCCAGTAAATTAAGGATTACTTGTATAAGGGCATTAGAAGATTAAAAAAGAGACAAATATATTTCTATACTCTTCTTGTTCATACTATTTTCAATCATATATTTTTTTTGAGTTGGGGAGTCTCACTGTCACCCAGGCTGGAATGCAGTGATACACTCACAGCCACCCCAGAGTTGACCTTCTGGGCTTGGGTGATCCTTCCGCCTCAGCCTTCCAAGTAGCCAGAAACACATGCACGTGCTACCACGCCTGGCTAATTTTTTGACTTATTGTAGTGATGAGGTCTTGCCAAGTTGCCCAGGCTGTTCTCGAACCTGTGGGCTCAGGCAATCCCCTCACTTTGGCCTCCCAAAGTGCTGGGATTATAAGCGTGAGTCACACCACACCTGGTCTTCAATCATATATTCCTCATAAATCATCAGCCTTTGACCTGCTGCAGAATCAGCAACTAATCTATATTATTAATGCATGAGATTTTCAGGGTGGGGTAGTTTTTTTAAAAATTTATTTTTGGGAAAATAAATTATTAAATTCTGATGGTTTTATATTTGATTTTAAAACCACCTATTTGGAAAAGTATAATATTCACACTTAGGCAGTCATATCCTTTAACTTTAGCTTTTTCTTTTTAAGTTCTCTAAAAGGACAACTCATATTTGCATATGAAATGCAGTGTTCTTTGATTTTCTAGACTTTTCAGCCACTGTGGTACTGTGACATCCTGAAAATGGTCTTTAGTAAGGTTCCTAGATAATATCTATAAATCAATACTATAGTCACATCCTTTTTTTTTTTTTTTTTTTGAGTTGGAGTCTCACTGTGTCACCCAGACTGGAGTGCAGTGGCTGCTCCCGGTCACCGCAGCCTCAACCTGCTAGCCTCCGGTGATTTTTCCGCCTCAGCCTTCCAAGTAGCTGGAACTACAGGCGCGCTACCACGCCCGGCTAATTTTTTGATTTATTGTAGAAATAAGGTCTCGCCAAGTTGCCCGAGCGGGTCTCGAACCCGCAGGCTCAGGCAATCCACTCACCTCAGCCTCCCAAAGCACTGGGATTACAGGCTGAGCCACTGAG